TTGAACTTTGAAGTGTCATCTTAGCAATTTGAAATGCGGTCACCCAACAAAAAGAAATCTTTACAAATACATTTTTTGTATGTGAAGTTGGAGACCACCCACTGGCCTATTTTTAGGCATACATTTGAACTGGCCATGTTACAGTCCTGCCTCTGTTCTCATGCAATAAAAGGCAGAGAGGATTCACTTGACCTGCAGTATCAAATACAGAGAAAATAAGACATTTGTCTGGAAAAGAACCACCCAAAATAGCAGTGAAGAAGTCATGCTGTGACATGAACTGTTAGTGTTCAGAGACAAGAAAAATGAGTATTATAGGAGCTGGTAGACTTTTTCTCATGACATATTAATGAGAACAACTGCTAGAAAATTATATGGTGATGCTAATTAGTATTTGTAGCTTTAAGGACCTGAGATCTTTCCCTTTAGCCCTAAATACACCACATGTGTAAGAGGAAGAAATAATCCTTGCTGAGATGAGTTCTCAGCTTTCTTCAAGGATTCTTTCTAGATCTGCCAGACATTTCCTTTGCTAAACACAGCTTTTAGCTCAGAAACTAATGCTCTTGCGTGAGCAAACCCTCCCCTGGCAGCTGGGTTTTGGTCGATTGCTTTGACCACTTGCGTTAAACATGATGCAACGTGGTATGACAAATGCAAGCAAACATCAGGATGGAGCGCAATGGAAATGCTGCATCCTATCTGACAGTTCAGCAGGAGGGAGAGGAATTATTTGCCCTGGTAACAACACGTGGAAAAGCACAGAGGCAGGGGGTAGGATGCATTTGCAAATACTCATGTTCCCTACACTTTTTACAGCCCCTCAATAGGCTTTGCAATATCCTAAAGTAGACAATTATTACTATATTAATTTTCTGTCTTTCCCCTCCTTCAAGAGGCTGGGGAAAGAACCCAGAATACCTGACTGCAGATGTATTAACTTCCCACTACCACATCAGCAAGACCATATGTACCACGCATTTCCCACTGACAAGGAAAGAAAGGTTAAAACCTTGCACGACAGGTTAACAGCATGATTTACAGCAACAGCTTAAATAAATGGTTGCAGGCACGAAAGACTAACAGGCAGCTAATCCTTTAAAGACTTAAGAGCAGCTACTACTTCAGTCCAAGTAAATATTTCAAAATAAAATTAATTAGTGGTGACTAGTGGATTTTTTTTCTCTGTTTGAACAGCACAGGCTGAAATGGTGATTCCTCCACAGAACTTAGACTTTCAGTGCCAAAACTGCTATTTCACAGGAGCAGAAAGAATCCTCTCAAAGAAGATTCGTTGCAATTTTGTTCCTTACTGTAATTGCAGCAGAAGTAGGAAAGCTCTATATGAATCTCATAGATCTCTTACTGTCAGAGAGGCAAGCTCCAAGTGCAGCCTTTTCGCTGCTCCAGAAATGGAGGACAGCATCATGGCTCAGTATCCAACAGAAGTACAGTGTAGAGGAAAGAAATGTTCGCTTCCCGATTCTTATCATTAGTAAGCTCTATCCATGCAGGCCACAAAAAAGACCTCCTAATAATTGCCTTGCTTCTAATTAAAAGAAGTTTCTTAACACCTTCCTAGACACAGGTGAAAGCACAGAAGGAAAGGCCTCAAGGTAGCAAGTACCTAACCAGCACAAACCAAAGTCTGCCTGAGCCTGGAGAAGCAAAACAGTCAAAGAAATCATCTGTAAACAATAATTTCTAATCCACAATTAAGCTTTTTTCCCAATATTTTTTTTTTACTTGACCCTTGGCTCCATCTCAGAACAAAGCTAGTTCTCTTGGGAAGGAGGAATCTGTCATGGCCCACTGAATTGTCTGGACTATTTTTAGTTAAATCCAGCATTCCTAAAACCTCAAGCTGATTGTGTATCAAGGAAGGAGCAAGGAAACCCTGTGAACTTGCACATCCACATTTCACACAAGGAGCACAGAACGCAGCATGCCAGTTGCCTTGCAGCATGAAAGCACAGCTAGGCTGAACACAGAGCTCTAGGAAAAAGTCAGAGAACATCTCTTTTCACCAGGTGGAGAAGTGTCATGGCAGAAGGCAGAAAACAAAGGCAGGATTGCTGACTTCCCTGAGCTGGAAGAGGCAAACTGAAGGTCTCTGCTAGCGCTTGGGAGGCCAGAGAAATCCAAGGGCCAGGCAATTTTCACTTACCCACTAACCTGATGAGCTGCAGCTCCAGACTACAGCAATGAGGAGAGTGCCAAGTGGAAAGGCAGGATCAGCCAAGGAGTCCCAGAGGTGCTTGGCAGGTAGAGATCTTGCTGGGAAGAGCAAGACAGACACCTCAATGGAAGGGCCAGGAGAAAGCTTAAGGAGAAGCAGAAGATGTGAAGGGCAGTTGTATGAATGGGCTGATGCTTGGGACTTTTAAGGACTGGGCTTGAGGGGGAGGAGTATGGAGAGAGCATGGAGAAGCTCGTTTAGACCACAGCATAAGTGGAGCATAGCACAAATCTGATTAGAAGGGACAGAACTGTTGTGCCGAGTCATTTCTTCCTGCCCTGCAGGGTTTTTACGTCATCTTTTATGCCAAGCAAAATCCATATTGCTGTAAGAGTAGCAGTATAGCACTGAGCCCCTCAGTGGCAAACGTTGCTGAATTTGGCTAATTGCAATTGACAGAAAGAAAGCAAACCACAACCACAGAGGCTGGTCTAAGTGTTCCTGCACAATGGGTACCAGAAAAGCACTGGTGATGCTGTTGCAGATTGTGCTGTTTATTCAAACAAAGCATGTTTTATGGCTATATTTATAGCACAGGGGTCATAGCCAGCGTGCTCCAAGTGAGTCATTACATTCTCTCTCCCCCAACTCCCCAGATGTTTCACACAACTTCTACTAAAATATTTTCAGGACTAAGATCAGTAACCTGCTGGCCAGCCCAGCCTCCTTACAACCACCACGCGCTGCAGACAGTCAAACAGTACAACATCCAGCCAGGCCTCAAGGATGAGGTTATCAAAAGAGTAAGAGGAAATACAAATCACTGCTGGGAAAAAATGAACAAGGAGTTAGAAACTCAAGTTTCCTCTTGCTACATCACCACAGGACCAGTGATGGGCATTGCTCTTCTCACCATCCCATGAACCTCCATCAGCATAAGCACATAGAGAATCTCAGAGAGAAGGATCAACAGTGATGCCAAAAAACATATATAGCACAAGTAAAGTTGCTGCCTGGAGTACTTACACCCCCTTTCCCAGGATCAGACTGCAGTGCCTGCAGCTGCTTCCCTGTAGAGGGAATGATGTCTCTTTACAAGTGTCTCTGTACGGACAGATGCAAAATCATAAGCCTGTAAGAATTACAACACCGCCGGCTGCACAAGCCCTAAACAGAAAAGAACTGAGAGACCAGGATAGGGTGATAAGTCCTTCAGGGCTGTGGCTTCACTTGGACTCAAAGCTCACACACAGTCTCCAGGCTGGTGAAACACCTCACCGCTCCATCACTTCAAGCAACCTACAGAAGCACAATTTCTGCCTTTTCTTTCAAGGGTTTGTGAGAGCCATTTGCACAACACTTTGGATAATTCTGGCTTTTCCTATTGCTCCTTTCCACTGCTGAGTTCATCTCCATCCCTCCTAATTTTGCCATATGATAGAGATCCCTTTCAGGCCTGCATCCTTCTATACAATATCCCAACAGGGGCATCAGCCATGACCTTGGAGATGCAGCACTGGATGCGATGCTTGCAACAAACCCTCGCTATCCCCAGCCTTATCCAGTGCCCAAGCGGGCAGAGACCACTGCATTGCTTTGAGCCATGTCTGAGTGTGAAGCCTGTCCTGGAAGCCCACTGAGGTCCCTCAGCCAGGGCATGGGCAGCAGGTTGCCTCCTTAGCTCTACACTTGAATGTCACCACTTGCTACAACTCTGCTGCCTGACTTCCCTTCTGAAGGGAATCTGGCTGTGGGAAGTGTTAGAAAATGTTACACACAGCATCTTTGAGCCAGGAGCCACTGGTGGCCATCTGCCTCAGCTGGTGGCATTTGCACCACCAACAGTGGTAAGGAGCCTCCTGGAGAGAAGAGGAACAGGTCCCCTTCCGCCTTGGGCAGCACAATATGCTATTACCAACGAGCCATTGCAAACGAGGAGCAGAGAAAAAGCCATTGTAGATCTAGCATCAGTTTCCAGGGCTTGTAGGTAATGTCTGCAGCTACCCAAGACTGTCTCCACTGCTACTTTGTTTGTTCCCCCCAGTTTATTCACCTAGATGTTTCAAACAGCTTGTCTACATAAGGGAAGTCTCCTCTGATGTGATGATGCTTGGGAACTTTCATTAGCTTTGTTCACTCGAGACAGTAAAAAAAAGTAAAATCAAGATATTGACTTAAAATGAACCTTTGCTTTTATAAATAATACATTGGGGGGAATTTCTTTGGGACTGCTGGTAGCTCAGACCAGAGAACTCTAGAATCACACTTCTAAACATCTTTCCAGCAACTTTATGGTATTAAGTACACAAGCATATAAATATACGATACAACAGCAACAGAAGAACATTATTGATACATGAATTCAAGCACTCACACTAGAGAAAAACCTAAAATCTGGGTGCCTGTTCCTTCTCCAGAGCTTCTGTGCATAATAATTCCACATCAAGCTATACAAATGCTGACTTTTTTTTTTCCTGAGTCAGCTGCCTTGCCGAGTGCCCAGAATGGATGATGCTCAATAAAGGAAATAGCTATTCAGTATTATCCTCATTCATCAGTGTTCGGCCAGTGCCTTATTTGTCATTCAAGCCCTGCTCTAGAACCAGAAACTTCTTCACAGGCATTTTCCTATTACCCTCGCCACTCTAGTGAGTCAGTCAGTTCTCCCCAAACCCACAACACCCATGATTTTACAGAAGGGGAACTGAGGAGCAGAGCCATTAACTGTGGGGTTTGGCAGCAGCATCCGGCACCCAGGGTCAAGGGAAGGATACAGCTACACAGCCACGGAGTTCGGGCAAGGCAGCAAAGGAGCCAAGGCAGCAAAGGAGCCAAGCCAGCCATGCAAATCATGCATGCAGGTCCACAGTGTGGCAGGAGTGGGAGGAAAATTAAAAAGATCCTGTTGTAATGTATCAGCACAGAAGCACCGAAACACCAGCCCCACTTGGGAGGAAAGCGTCATTCTTATGTAATGCTTTAACAAATGTAAGAGCTGACTGCACTGATTACAATCAAATCTACACTAGAGGAGCACCACTGCTATGGTATGGACGAGGCTCAGAGAAACAAGATATTCGCAGTAATGTTTTCCAATCTCTTGCAATAAATGTAAATGCATGCTATTTTGCAAGAGAAAATTGAACCCTGGCTATTAGCTACACTACAGCTAGACAATTAATAGACATTTGAACATTTAGAGACTTATACTGTGGAGGAAAACCATGCTTAGACTGCAGTATGTCAACTCAAAGAATGAAGTCATCTGGATCTGCATTTTTCCAGCAGTCAACATACCTTTTTTTCTTTCCCAGATGTGTCTCCTTTTTTCCAGATTAGATATAAAACAATCCCTGTAGAGAGGAAAACGTCCCGGTGGCCATCCCTCACACAGACAGCCCTGCGAGCACTAGGGCAGGGACTGTTCTTATTTATACACTGTGCTGCCTGAGGACTTTGCTTCTGTCAAATAAAAAATTAATTGCCTTACGTTCAGAAACGTCAGCATGTTTTTCTCCTGTCCCCTACATTTACTTGTCCTTCTTAGTCAACCCAGGCTTCCCAATTTTCTGCATCTTATCAGCCCCACTTGAAAGCATCTTCTCCCTCCCCCTTCTCTTTTTCCATCTAAACTTCCCTTCCACTTCCTCTCTCCTTTCCCCCAAACCAAACAAATCTACATTCTTATCCCCTAATAGAGGCTGATTCATGTTTTTTTGCGTCAGCAGCCACTCTCCTGGCCAGACCTAGCTTTAATCGACACATTTCAGCTGCTGCCAAGCAGTACGTGACAACATCTGGGAAGCAGGGCTGCCATCAGCCCAGGGGCCAGCAACGTCAGGAATGTGAGATGGGTGAGGGCTGGCATGACACAGCACAGCAGGAAAGAACATGCATAGTTGTTGCCTTCAGAGATGGAAAGGGAGATCCTGAATTCAATCAGTTATTCCTCAGAGTGCAACACTGGGGCACACACAAGCCAATTAAGTCAAACAAGGGAAGAGATGTAGGTTAAAAGATCTTGGCTCAGGCTTTGGGTTTAATCTAGAATACTGGAGGAGGAGAAAAGGCAATTTTAAGAGTACTTCCAGAGCAAGGCATTCATCCAGCACTGTTCTCATCTCAACATCTCCACGGGCCTGCTCTGCACCAACAGTGGTACCTGCCCCTCTTCGTTTCAAAATATTTTCAGTCCACAAAGCACACCTGACAATTCTGGAGTATCAGTACCAGCCCACAAGCCATATTCAGACACTGCTCCTGTTACATTGCACAACAAAAGGAACTGGATATTTGGACCCTGAAACAAAGCAATTAGAAGTCTGGGGTCTTTATACATTTAATAAAGGTTGCACGTGAGGTTCAAAATGCAAATCCTGACCTTCTGGAGAAGCACGTTTTCCTACCGCACCCAGGGCACTCTGGATTGCTGCACTAGGGAGGGTAATCCCAGCTCCCCAGCTCTGCCCCAAAGCCAGCCAAGGGTCCTGGAGAGCAGATGGAGCTGTTCCAAAGCTGCTGGCTCAGCAAAGCCTAATGCTGATTGGAGTGACTACATTAGCAATTGGAAGCAGTAGGCAACAGCAGATTCAGCTAAAGCCTTAATCTGGTTGCCCAGAACAGTTTTTAGTGCACACCGACATCTGTGAATGTGAAAAAGACAAGGTTATGATTTGTACACAGAATATAGTGAAGTTTATTCATATTAAATACATCTACTTGCATCACTACTTGTCAACATACTTGTTCTCCAGGACACTGAGTTCATTCCCACTTCAAGAGACAGACTGTTTTTATTTTACACAAAATAGAGCTACCAATCTGTTTTCCCTGAATAACCTATCACTGAAACTAGCAAAACAATACAAATGGGACTTAAGTACGAACTATACAGATATTTCCTTTTTACTGGCCTAGGGAGTTATGCACAGCATATTATCTAGACAAGGACAAAACGATTCCAAATATACATACAGACAGATGGAATTCAAGTGTCTCCAAGATCCACATTAGTCAAAACCAAGGGGTTTTGTATCTAGACACTTAAGTCCTGGTCCAAATTCCAATTCTCCCTGTATCCATTCAGTTTGTTTAAAATAATAAGCAAAAATCCAACAACAGTCCTTTTAAAGGATAAGTGGATTTTGCCAAAAGTAACAGCGGTATGGCAAAAAGCTTGCTTCTGAAGTATGTGTTTGCTGAGTAAAAAAGCTTGGTCATTCTGACAAGAGGAGTTGTGCAGCAAATGCACATGTAAAGTATTTCATGCAAGTGCAGTTTTCCGCCTCTTGTACACATCTGACTTGTTACTCCAGACAAGCACAGGACAAGTAATTCGAAGCATTTCTGATGGACAGAGAGCAAAAGGAGAATTTAACTATGCTGGTTTATCTGCAAAGATAAACCCAGTGAAAACCACAATCTCACTGAAAACTAAAATAAACTCTATAAAACAGTTAGAAATACCAAATATCTTTGCTGCTGAAACTGGCTCATCTATTTTTGGATAATTGCTAGAATTGGCTTGCCCAAGAAGAACTTCTTACAAGCAACCAGCATTATGTAACCAAAAGAGGAAAAATACAATAAATCACATGTTCTACCCACCTAATGTTGCAATCCTTTTGGTCAATTCTGTGTTCAAGCCCCCACCCCCCCAACCGAAAAACCTGCAATACTTCAAAACCAGGAACTGGCATCTTGTGACTGATATACTTCATCTACAATCTTACAAGGCCCCCTCTGATATCCAGGGTAACTAACAGCTCTTACCACCAACCTAATTATAATGCAATTAAATACATTGTTCAGTCATCAAAATCTGGGATATCATCATAGGAATAGCCCCGGTAGCCTTTGGAAGCGTAGTATGCAATGCGGAGGTGGTAGAAGCCTGGGAGAAACACAAGGATCCCAATGATGAGCACAGGGATGGCACGGTCCGTTCCCTGCAGAAGAGAGACAGGCAAGTGCAGTAAGAGGAGATTTGGGGGGGGGGTCCCTTTTTCTTAAGTCCTGCCTCAACTATTCATTCCTAAGGCCTGGCTAGCTGACAAAAAGCAAAAATTCATCTTAAATCAGAAACATCTCATTTTTCTTCAGGCTGAGCTCAAGTCCTCTCCCTGGCATCTCCTCCTTGCTACAGGAAACCCTCAACTGAACTTCTCCTTCGGGTAGGAGGGGTGGCTCCTCCTAACACTAACCACGTAACAAAACTGCCAGCCACATGCTGGGTGCTGCATGCCCGGCTGAGAGCAAGCTCTCCTATCTGTGCCTGGACTGCTTCCGATACAGCCAGAATACTACTGTTTCCACAATGATAAGCAGCAGCTGCCAACCGTAAAGCAATTCCATATGGCACGAGGTAAAAGAAGTGTGCCACAGAGGAGCACCAAGTCAGCCACAAACAACAGATCCCCTTTGAATGGATCATAAATACAGAGAGATGAGAAAAGTGCTGCTGCGTCCTATCTAGCAGTCTGGTATCTCCTACAGAAGTTACCAGACGATCTTCCCTAGAAGAGTGATGATCCTAGCATGAAGTTTTTCCAGGACAGCAAGCTGACCTCTGCAGGGATGTAGCATTAAAATGAAACTGTACCCCAGGGAAGGACAGAGAAACTCGGCCCTCCCTGGCAGATCTCCCATGCAGCTACGAACCTGCTCCAGACTTGCTAACTGAAGACATCACAGGGCTCTGCTCCCAGCATAATAGGGCTGACAGCAAACACCAGTGAGGCAGCAGAGGGGATTTTCTTCCTTGCAGGCCTTTTGCTCTGAATTTCTACACTGAACATGATGGTTCACGGCAGGCTTTGGGGAATGGGCAAGCAATGCAAAACTCGCAACAGAAATGTAATCAAACCACTTACGCCTTTGCTAATGTATCCTGCCAAGAGGAGGGCTCCTATGATAATGAGGAAGGTCCCGATCATGAAGAGCACAATAGCCAGTGCAATTGCCTTGTAAGGGATTTTTGGTGGGCTCTTCTTGAACTGGATCAAAAAAACCCAAATATTAAAAAGCTTAACTCAGCACAGTTCCCCTCCCACCATGGCAGAAATGTGCATCCCACAGCTAGCAGATATGACATGGGATAAACCGTTGCAGCAGCTCTGCTGCAGGGCTCTGTAACAGCCCTTCTGCAAGGAATCCTGCACATGGAGACCCCGCTGTCTGAGCCAGCATTTACACCCATTGCTTCCAGATCTGCTCCAATTTTCATCTCCCTCCAAAGAAAAGCATCTGGCCCTATTAAACACGCAATCTTTCCAGTTAAGCTCTAGAGGCTTTCTGGAGAAGGGCTCAAGTGGTGGCTGACAGCTAGCTTTGTACCTTTCTGAGCTGAGGCTGTTCTACTAGAGATAAACAAAGCAGCAGCCTCCCAGGCACATGCAAAGCTATAGCAGCCTTTCCTAGTAGTTTAGAGTCAGAGCAGCAGCAGCAGAAAGAGGTTTTCTTCCCCAGTTTTTACCTGCAGGTCAATATATCCATCATCAGTGCTGGAGAGCTTGGAATATTTGACTTTGCTACTGGGAATCCCAGCAGTCAGATTTGTCCGTGATGGCATCATTACAAGGAAGCCTGAGCATCAGCTAGAACCTGGAAAATAGAAAGAACAGCAAAAAAAATCAGAGCAAATTGGACAATAGAATCTGAGAGACATGGACCAAGTTTCTTACTTGAAACAGTGTCAAGTCTGTACCTACAAAAAGGCATCTTTGTTCTTCATAAATTCTTTTCAAACAAAGCTTTGTATTTAAGCCTAAAATACAAAGGCATGGATATAGCTGCAATAGGGTTTGCCAATATTTGAAAGCAAAGTCAGACTAAGGTAGAACTTGCATTTAAAATAAGATAGAAATTCCAGAATATACAATGTATAAATCAGCTCTCATTTCGCAAGTAGATCACACTTCCAGCAGGGAGATGTCTGAGGTCCAGCTATTTCTAAACAGGGACACTAGCAAATAAACCCAAACCAGAACTAAACAAAGCAGCTTTTCAACCAGCCAGATATTTTGCAATAGATCATTAAAAAAAACCCACAAAAAAACCAACCACTGGAAACTAGAATGAAATGGAGCTGTCATCCCCAAGACTGCTCAGGTTATGACTCAGAGGGAACATGACAAGGGGACAGAGTGGTTAGTGGATGAGGTAACGAAAAAACCAACAAGGAACTAAAAAGCATAGGTCACTTGTCTGTCTAGCTGTGAGGGAGGCAGCGTTCAGGGTAGAGCTTTATTTAGTTACGCCAGAGCCATACCCTGCAATTTCACCATGCCATGAAGCCAAGCCCTGCAGTTTTGCTGCCAGCAGTGACAGTCCTGGGGAGAAGGGCAGAGCCAGCTTGCTTCTGCACCTTGAAGCCCAACTTCTCAGGAGTTGAAGCCTGGATCTGGCCTGCCAACACATCCCTGATTCACTGCACAGCCATTTAACAGGCCCTGACAACTTCTCCCATGCGTTTGGTGGCTGCTCACCCACAGCCTTGAACCTGCACTGCAGCCCAGGGCTACAACTCCCAGAAGCGAGGCAGGCAATAGGCTTCCCTCGCCTTCCAACTTCAGTAGCTTTATTTTCAGAGAAAGTATGGAATAAAGAAAACAAAAGTGCATATCCCAACTGTTCCAACAGGAAGGGACAAAGATGCTTTCTCTATAACACTATTTGGCATATCCTCAAAATATTTAGTCTCCACTTGAACTGAAAGCCTTTGTCTCCCTCTTGCTAATTGCTGGCACATTCCCCTGCCATCAGGTTTGTTCCTCCTGTAGTAAATTTGACTTTTATAAAAAACCCAACACCCTCTGATCTTAAACCCCCACAGCTGTACCTTTACCTTGGAACTTGTTGCTTTTTTTTGGTAGCAAAACCCAAGCACAGACAAAACATTTCTAGCCCCATCGATAATGGAAATACCACCCACCTACAGGGTGGTGACACTCACATCCTCAGCCACTTATACATCAGTGTTTTTCAGGTCACAGTACTCAAATACCCCTAAGGCCTCCCATGTGCCCAGGGGTAGACGTGCAGGAGGAGAAAAAGTCAAAAGAAATCAGCACATCTGAAATGTGTCAGATTTCCTGACTCTACCCCATTTTACTCTCAAGTACCATGGGACTTCTTACTGACTGTCCCATTACTTAGCAGGCTATTCCTAGTGGCTTCCTAGGAATTACTTCCAATCTACACTTGCATAAGTTGTCCTGCCTTTCCCATCACCTGCTTATCAACGAGAAAGCGGCTATTAAAGACAAATGTAAAAAACCCAAACCACTCAGATCTCGTGTTTAAGGGCCAGGTTCAAGTCCACTAAGCTTCACTATCCTTGTGCTCTACAGTGGTTGAAGATCACAAACGAGCTCAGTGCTGTGCCCTTTAAGAAGCAAATAAATGGTGAATCACACTTGTAATTGAAGTTTTCTAATACAGTCATGTTTTAAACGCAGTCAGAACCCGCACTGCCCGGGGGAACGCGCCCCGAGCAGAGCGCAGGCTCACCAGGCGAGCTTGCCAGTAAATGCAAACACGGGACTTCGAGCCAAAATCCTGTTTACCCCCTAAATAAGAGCAACATATTTTTCAACCCTCTGTGCCCAGGAATAAGGCAGGAAGGGGAATGTCACTTCTTGCCCTTTCAGGAGCTCAAACCTCACACGACAAACACAGCCAACCCCTCTCCTCCAGACCCGAAATGGTTTCTCCGCTGCTGAACAGGAAGTTCCCAACATGTCTGGGAACTCCCCCAAAACTCCGGGCTGCGCACCCTGCCTTGCACAGCTTCAAAACATTAATAAAAAGCACACAACGGCGGTTACCTGCTATTCACGCTGCTGGCCGAGCCCATCTCTCCCACTGCCGCTTCTCTTCCGCGCTGCCCAGGCCGCAGAACAACCCAGGAAGTTTATTCGTGATGACAGTAATTTCCTTCCAGGTTGTGGCAGCAGCTTCTCGCTGGCTCAGCGCCGCTGGGTTATTTTCGGCCTCGCACACCAGATTAGCAGCTGGAATTAGCGTCCTCGGGCAGGGTGGCGGGGACCACGTCCTGGTCACCCAGGCCCACGTCACACAAGACCCACCGGAGCTAATCTGTCATTTTGGGGCGGCATTCATTTGTGAAACAGCATGTTCATGCACATCTCTCCTACACGTGCTTTAAAGTCGATTTCCTACAGGAAGATCTGGACATAACTGAACCATCAGACACAGCACTGCCCTTCATTAGGGCAAAATATGTGACAGACAAGCTATAGCCAGAAAATTATTTCTAGCACCTGGACCAGTATTAACTCATCAGATGAAAGACAGCTGGGGATCTACTTCCTCCAGCTGCTCCAAACAAGGAAACCGCAGGAATTGCCATGGTTCCAGTTCCTGTAAATTAATAAAGTACACACTGGATTTGGAGCCCCCAAAGCCTAATCTTAAGTTTCACAGATTTCTCCCTCCTTCCCCCTTTTTCTCCTTGCTAAGAAAGTCTAAATATATAAACTTCAAAAGCTTACTCTCTCAAACATGGAGAAACACGCACAGCATTTACTAAGCTTCCCCAGCTTTTTTTTTTTTTAAGGGAACATCTTAATTTTGATTATTTGGGTATGACAATGGCACAGTAAACATTCATCTTCTTTAAGGACTTATCCAGAAAGCACACAGTACACAAGTCAGAACACAAGCATGTAGACGCTACTGTTAAAGGATGTTTCTCACATGAGGCTACTCAATTTGGTCATTAAAGCTGTAAAAATAAGCAACTAAACCATCTGGCTTATTTTTACAATGTGTTTATGAGTAGAATAGCTCAAGAGTTTTGTAACCCCCACTACAGCAGGGGGTTGCACCAAAAAAATTTGCTTCAATCACTAGCCCAGCTTTACGCACATCATTGAAACCCAGAATCCTTCCCTATTTCAACATCATGAATCTTTGATTCTTTGCTGAAGCACGTGCTTGCTTGTTGTACTTGTAGGTACCACAATGGCGATCCAATCTGAGAAGCATCACATTTGGAGTGAAAAAAGCCTCCTGGTTATTTAAGAAAGTACTAGTACTGTTCAGGGCAGTAACTCAGCAATTGCTGAAAAACTTCAGGGCAGCTAAAGATCTTGCCTTTGAGGTGTTTTCTTAAAAGGTGCTGAATTAATCAGCAGGCTAAAAAAGTTCAAGAGAATAAATGGTGTATGCTCTGGAGACATAAGACAAAGCTCAGTATGGGAGCTGAAAAACATGCAGGGAGCTATCTGCATCCATCACAGCAGAAGAAAACAAAAGTCTAAACCATCTCTACTAGTAAAGCAGTGCTACCACCAACAGAAAAAAAATCAACAGCAGGGGCATTAAGAAATAGTGTCCCTCAGCTTTGAGCAGGGACAAGCTTCTATCACAATGGTAGCTGCATCATTCTGACACAGCAGAATTTGTTTCTTAATCAGTACTGCCACCTTGTGAAATTCTCCTGCTAAACGGTTGGGTTTTCCAAGTGTCAAATTTTCAGGCAGTTTATGCTCTAGTCAGTCCTGTATTTTTGCTGACTAGTGGGAAGCACGCAGCCTCCTAGAAGAATAAGCATACCCACAGCACTTAAAGAGCCTCTAAGTACTACTTACCACATAGCACTGATCAAGCTAACTGAATTGCTTTTCAGTGTTTTGTCATTCGTGACAAAGTGGAGTCACTCAGGTTCCAGACAGAGAGTAAGGATTTATGGCTAGCTGGTAGCAATACAGTAAGTGAAGAAAAAAACCACAGTAGCTGCCTGAAACTGTTTTCAGATCTTGTTTTTCATGATCAAACCTTCAGGGTGAAACACGGTAAGCCTTATTTTTAGATCTTCATCAACAATACGAACATGGTAAGACAGGAATTGCTGGTAGCACAGTGAGCACACTACACATCAATAGAAGCATGCAAGGTGTGGGACAAAGGCACTCAATGAACACATGAGGAGTGGCTCAACATCAACCAGCCAGAAACAGAACCACACCCAGGAACGGTTCACACAAATGGCCACCAGACCAAGCGGTTTTCTGTCACAGCCACACTGGGGCACGTGCCTACACACTCTCAGACTTCACCGAGGGCCAGAGTGACAGCTACAGGAACAGTCCCTGCTAGAGGCAGCTCTGGCATCTGCTGAAGCTAGTGCATTTTAAGGAAAAGTTTCACAAACTTCCTCTGCTTAAAGGAAACAGCATCACAGACCAATTAGTTATTCAAACTGTAACCACACCCCTCAATGTCAACACATCTAAGGGATCAACACAGAACCTGGTAACTCCAGTGCAAAAAATACCCCACAAGCTTGCCTGGTGCAGTGCCTTTGAAAAAGGAGCTAGGGTACATTAGCATAGTTTGACAGCGCATCGATTCATCCATCCACATTTAAACAGGATAAAACCCATGAAATTATATTCTTTATTTCCATTTTCAATGTTTCACTTAGAATACCAGCTTCAAAAATAAATGGATGAAATAGTCGAATAAACTCGCAGCATAACTGAACAGCAACTCTAGTCAACTACAGTTCCACAGGTGAAACTCTAGGAAACATCTTTACTCGAGTTAAAATATTGCACCCCTTCTCTAACACAAGTTGAAAGGAGTAAGATATTTCACCTCCAGACAGTATCTAAGAGATTATTGGAGGTACAGTAACAGACTAAAAATCTACTTCCATGACACCAGTATAGCAAAATAGTAAGTTGAAAAATATGTACAAAAGATATCTATACAACATGCCTAACAGTGCTCATACAATGCTCCACTGCACTGAAATTGCTAACACCACCATTTCCCTCTCAAAGTCAGTTGTCCTCTGAAGAGCTGACCAGATCTCCCCCTCAGTCCTATTCCAATTAAGAGCCTTCTTGTTGGTCTTCGATCTTTGGAGCCAGGTAGTATTTTAAGTGTCCCATATCAGCAATCTTGTACTCCACAACTGGGAAAAAGAAAAAGAACAGTATTCAGAAGGTTCTTCAGATAAGACATTCAGTCAAGAGTTCTTAATGCAGCTCTAAGGTGGCAGCATTCTACAAGGTTTTTCAAGGAGAGCTGCTTCTACTTACCAAGAGGAACATCTGCAGACATGCTGAGTGTTACCGTAGGTGACAGGGGAGTGGCTTTGGTAAAAAAGTTCAGGTACCTCAGAGCAAAGGTCAACTGGACTGGCTCATTCATCTCTATTGTGACCTAGAAAACCATCAGCCAAGTGAGACTTCAATAAATGCAAGCTGCAGCAAGTCCCCTCAAGTCTCTCAAGTAATTCAGACATCTCAAGCAAAGGCAGACAAGTGCTACTCCCCACTCTGTTCTGCTGAGCACAGCTTGCTGGCCCTGGGGGATAAGGACCTAAAGTTGGCAACGACCTGTTGCCTCCAATCTATAAACCAGAGAAATACACAGCTTTAGCCCCCAATAGGTCAGAGAATGTCATATTAGTAGAAACATCAACACTGAAGACACCACAGTAACTGTGAACGCTTAACTTACAGCTTCTTCTTCTTTATCCACATTACTCGTCTGTGACAGCTTGATGTTTCCATTGCCCAGCTCTCCATTAGATGAAAATTTCACACCGTCTTTTGCACAGGAGATGACAACTGCATCACCAATGTGGCTGAGATCTCTACAGATGCGTGCAAATTCAGCAGAAGGCATCTTCACTACACAGCTATATTCTTGTTCCTGCAAAGGAAGTGTCACAATTAAACTTGTACCAAGAAGCTTGGTGTAGTCGCTACACTTGAGTTTGTCTAGTCTTTCCAAAGGAAGTTATATTACAAGCTCAAACTTCAAGTCTGATGTGAACATAGGAAAACACCCATTTCTAAGGGGCAGTGTCATCAGTCATTCGAGCCACTACTTACTGGAATTCCAAGCTGTTCCACATCCAGATCCATTAGCTTCATCTCATAATCAGAAACCTTTTCCTGATCTAAAGAAAGAAAGCATAGTTTGACCAAGTGTTTCCAAGAAGTTATCATCCTGAATTTAACTTTTGCCCCCCCCCCAGTAAAAACATCCAAATTATGACAATAAGATCTACCTTGTTAATTAGAGGTAGAAATCTGAAAGTGACCCAAATAGGATTTTGCAGGCTGTAAGAGGACAGCAACCCACCAAGAGCATCTGCAGGTGGCCTAAAGAAGAGTGTCTCTCTTACAAAGAAAGCATCAGTCAGGTTGACTAAGCTTACATCTCCAGACTGTTTCAAGAGTTTAAGTATCAGGTGACCCCTCCCATTTCTGAACTATTTACTGTCATCTCCTTCCCCTCCTGCATTTGCATGGTTTGTGAAGACCACCTAAAAATATCACAGTAGCAAATTAGTTTCCACATCTAACACTCACTTGGTGCTTCAAACACTAGAGCCAACGTATCTGCGTTGTCTTCTGCTCGGAGAGTTATGATGTCTTCGTTTCCAGCACACTTCAGTATTTTGGACATGCTGGGGGGGGGTGCAAAAAAGGTAGGTAACTCACAAGATAACAGACAGAGCCTACTACAGAGCGCAAAAACAAGGCCAGCAAGGCGCAGCCGCCAGCCTCAGACGCAGCCTGCGGAGCTGCGCAGAAGGAGCAGAGATGGGGCTCGTTGTGTCCCCCCTCCCCGGGCGGCAGGAGCCGAGACACCATGGCGGGCCGCGCTCGGCCTCCCCCGCCTCCGAACGGGCTTTCCCGCCACGGCGCGCCGGCAGTGACGTCACCGCCGCCGGGCCCCGCCCCGCGAAAAACGGCGCGAGACTTCTGAGGAGAATGGAAGGGGGGCGGGAGGAAGGGCAGAGAAGGGGCTCCGAGGGGCCCCCGCCCGCC